TCTTTAAGAGCAAAATAAGAATAATTTGAATACTTTCAAGAAACATGTTGGGAAAGCTTCGGTTGAGTAACTTGACGAGGAGGCGATTGTAATTGACTTAACTTCCTTTATTGCAAAAACGCTCGTACTCGTCTCACAGAAAACAGAACAAATCGCATAGGCGGTACAGCACCGACGTACGAGGTACGAGAACAATGAACATAAACGTAATAGATCGCACACAGCGGTTAAGCGAATAGGAACTAGAATGTAGAGGTCGCCCCGATACATAGAGGGACAGAAAGAAGTGAATACACAACAAAACATCGTAGTAAAGTTAGATTTCTCTCATAAAGCTTCATCTATGAGGAAGCCATAACAATTGAAGCAATGTGCAAATATCTAATTTGCCTACTTTAATGATGAGGAAGAAATTTGCAAATTTCCAATTTGCACGCTTCAATGATGAGGAAGCAAGGTGCAAATTTCTAATTTGCACACTTTCAAGAAACATCGTGCAAAATTATTTTGTTTTAAATTGAAAGGAAAAGTACACACTTTTTGATACTTCGAACAGAATTAGCGAGGAAAAATTTTCTACGCCCGGGCACCTGGCCAAAGTTGGTTAGTTTTTAGGTAAAAACATGTCCTTACATTTTAAAAACTACACTAGCGCAGATGCATTCGAGGAAAAATCTGGTGACTAGTTTTTGAAGCTGAAAGTGCAAGTTTTAATTTAAAAGAAAAACGATCTTGCTACGATGATTTTTAACGGAGGTATCGTCGGTAATGTCGAAAACACAAGGGTTATTTCAATGAGCTGTGATTTGGCGAAAAAAAATCGTAGGAACTTCTTTTTTTAAATTGAAGAGAAAAGTATACACTTTTTGATACCGTAAGCAGAACTGGCAAAGAAAAATTACTACATTCCGCACAGTGCGTCAAAGTGTGCAATTTTTTAGAGAAAAAACATGATCATGATTTTGAGAAAGTTCCGGGAAATGGGAAGAATGAATGCAAATTCCAATAAGAGCTTCTTAAAGCAGAGGCTTTGCCCTATAAAATGAAAAAAAATTTTCAATTCGACCAGTTTTCGCGAAGTTACGCTTATTTGAAATTTGCCAAATTTTGATGTAAATTTCTTGTTGCGTTAATTTTTTTGACCAGTGTATTATACTTTCACAATATTCCCACTTATACAGTATACTTGCATATGATCGTATGATCTTTTCTATTTTCGTATTAGCAAAATACTCTCTCCGTTATGGCAAAACACAACAACACAGCTATTCAATACTTACTTCTCTATCAGTTTTTGAAAGTGCGATTCCAATTTTCATGCTACGCGTTATTACTTACCTTATTACTTAAAAGTGTTATCGTTATTGTTATCAGCATCGATCTTATCATGTACTTTTTATATTTTTTCTGGGTAAATAATTTCTTATCTTCTCCTATTCCCGTGTTATAATGTTCTAAAGAGTGTATTTCATTTTTTAACATTTTTCATTTGAAGAATTGTGAATAATGCGACTAATTTGACGGTTGATTGTTAACTACGTAATTACACCTTTTGACTATTTTTATTTTATATATTTTGTACTTATATCAACATTAGAATAAAATATTTTATTATTTAATGTAAAGTTTTTGTTGCTAAGTTTTATATATTTAATTTATAACAAGGATTTACTAATTTATTTAAACATTAATTAGTTCTATATGATTTTATGTTTATTATTATCGCAGTTTATATTTTTTTGCAATTTTCCTTTTTGTATTATTATAATAAGGAACGGCACTAAATGTTTAAAATATGTATGTAATAACGTAAATTTAATTTATATATAGTAAACTTTCATATTTTTGCATTAGTGTATACATATATGACTATGGTTACTTACAGGATATTTGCACATAGTGTGACTATCTTCCTTTGCACATGATTGCAAATTGCAATAATCGGTTGCAGTTGCAACAGTAAATACCCCAATTGTGACAAGACCCAAAAAATTACAAATTTTTGCCATTATCCTTTCCTGAATTGTTAGTTTCTAAATTTTGATGATGCCGCTTTGTCAGTAACTAGATTTCTTTGTAAACTACTAACGAGACTAACGTAACATAGATACACTTATATCCAACGAATTATCTCAGTGTTGTAGCTAGGACAGAGCAACTGGGGCCCACGCGAGTGGTGCGAGTCCTAGGGAAGGCAATTACGAGTATGTTAGAAAACAATGTTTAGTACCTAGGCATTTCGTCTTAAGCAAATATGTGGGAAACAATGTGTGAGAAATTAAACAAGTACATTATTTGTATTTATTCGACTACTTCTAACATATTATTAATATCGTGGTATGAAACTTATGAATATTGTTCTTATCAAAGATTACGTGCTTCGGTTCTAATCTATCAGAAATGCGAAAAAATTAAACATCACGGACGCGATTGCAAGAATAACCAAATTGCACACGCAGTATACTTCACGAGTAGAGCACGAAATTATAATACAATGCAATGAACAGGTGGGAAACATTAAATCAGAAGACAATTCATCTTTCGCATAACACAAACATGTGTGCGTGCGTGCGTGCGTGCGTGCGTGCGTGCGTGCGTGCGTGCGTGCGTGTGTGCGTGTGTGCGTGCGTGTGAGCAATTATTTTATTGAAGATAGAGAGATAGATCGATAGACAGACAGGCAGAGAGAGAGAGAGAGAGAGAGAGAGAGAGAGAGAGAGAGAGAGGGGGGGGGAGGGAGAAAGGGAGAGAGAGGAAGAGAGCAAGTCAAAGAAAAAATTATTTTGATGTTTATTAATATAATTATAATGGTTACAATTGTCGGTTTTTTCTAACAGTACATATTGCAAGTTTCATTTGTTTTTCCTTTTTGCGTGTCATTACTTTTCGTATTACATCTTTAATCTCTCGATCAGATTTAATTTTTAGTTTAAACTTTCACTTTGTATATTAAATCACCGATCACATTTCCCCTTGGACCATAATTACATACTACATACGTCATATTCATGCCGCTATAATATGAGCTTATTTGACCACAACCAACTGTTGTTGTGTTAGCCCAGACTACTTGTGTATATTGGACTGTAAACAGATCAAATCTGCAAAGAAATTAAATTTTATAAATACATTAAAAATATATTATAAATTCCAGATATTTTAACCAATATTATTGCATGTGTCCTCATATGTGTATAATATTAATGTTATTTAAGTGCAATTATTTCTTATACTCGTATTATATATGTATACATAGACACTTTACATTATATAAGAAGTCTTGATGCAATCTGAAGAATTAATTCATATCCTACGACATTTGCTAGTATGTGTAAAATAGACAATACTTAGAATATTAGATACTTACTGATATGGCAAGGAAGCTTTATTTTTATCAAATTCATCTACTCCTCTGTATATTAGTTTAACCATTTCTACATTGGATGGGGGTTTTCCCGTAGTTCTTACCATTGCTATGTTCTGACCAACTGCAAATCTGTCTATAAAACGCATAATTTGCCAACAAGTGGATCACTGATTGTAAGTCATAAAATAATTAATTTGTGTTTAGGAACACTATTGTGTAAATCGATACTTACCCACATTTCTGCATTTGTCCCAACCATAATCGCATTGAATGACCCATCTTTGTGCAATATTTTCTAGTTCTTCATCCCAAGTCTAATTGCAAGAGAATATACAGGGTGTTCCATTTTAACTTTGGAATAAAAATATCTCGATATCACGAGGTTATAAAAAAATATTTCAGACAATAGTTGTTTGGTTCGAAAGGGACCAAAGATGATGGCAATTATTTGACCTGGATACTCGTTTGTAAATTATAGAAATGGAAGATCACTTTCAATTATGCTATGTTCTGACCACTACTTTCTTAAATGGAATCTACTATTTTTTGTAATATTTTTTTGCCCTTTGATTAATTAAGAAATTTTTATCTGATACATTTTTATTTGCTTAATATTTTTGTAAGTATTCCAAGAAAACTTAGTACTGAAATACTGAAAAACTACCAAGTTTTTTTCAATATTTAACTTAAGATATCTCGACAATTGTCAAAGAGAAGAGTGGTACTGGATTTTTTAATGCGATTTGTTCTCAAGAATCTGCTATGACTATATGTAGTTTATTTTAACTTAAAGGTTTTGAAATATACTTCGAGTTTAAGTATACAAGTGTTTACAAAAGTGGGTACTATTGTAATAGTATATTCTTGAGACCAAATCAAGTCAAAAAGTCCTATACCACTTGTCCCTCTGATAAACAATTACCAAGATAACGTAATGTAAATGTTGAGAAATCTAGTTTCCTTCAAATATTAAGAAATATTACGCAAAAACTTTTCTCTTTATGAAACATAAATAATAATAAATAAAAAATAGAAAACTCTAATGTTTCGAAGTTAATTATATGGACGGGAATTGTATATGAATTTGTTTAATCTTGCCGATTATTGTATTTTTAATTTACTATAAAAATATATAACATGACTTACCAAATCTGGCATGCTGACTGCCGAAGGTTGCGGACCAGGGCGTCCCCTGGTTTCCTGACCCGATGCGACTTTTCGTCTCAGTTCATTATGTTTGTCTAACATAGCCTTTCTATCAACATCATTGAGACCAACACTATACCACGGGTCACATCTTTTTGCTGGTATTGTTGTCTACAATATAATTTTGTAGAATTTGTAGAATTAACTACTCTCTAAAAATAAATTAGTGAATTATTACTGGAAACAGTGAATAGCCACTGATTTACGGTTATAAGTATACCACTGAAATTTTCAGTAGTATACTTATAACTGCAAATCAGTGGCTATTCACTGTTTCCAGTGATAATTCACTAATTGATTTTTAGAGAGTATAATTAGTATAATTGGCTTAATTGTAGAATTAGCTATAATAACTAATAAGTGCTTTCTTAAAGTGCATTAAATACGTTTCTTAAAAAATCTCAACGACATACATTTCTAAAAAAAGAATATTTAACTAAACTAATTTCTCTTATGCATTATACGTTTCCAATGAGTCGAGAAAAATATTTAACTTTATATTTGTAAGTAAAGGTAAATGTACGTGTAATTAGTCTAACTCACGATATACTTAAACATCATATTATTTCTTTTCTTTTTGATACGATATTATTAGGTACATATGACAATAATCTGTTCCGATTGAACTAGCAAATATTCCTGCCATTATGGCAAAATAGAAGAAACTTCTATCATGATGCTTTTCTTAACTTTTCGTTTTCGAAGCTTTTTAAGTAATATTCTTTATCAGTTTACAATGAATGAAGTATTGTTTAAAGAACGATTCTAATTTTTATGCTATGCATAATTACTTACTTTATCATTTGCAAATGTTATCGTTAAGATAAGTAGCATCAAGCTTATCATGAAATTTTTCATGTACATTTTATCTTATCATAATATAACTTATCATAATACTGTTATTGTCAATAATTTTGTATCTTTTCTCATCGTTGCGTTATAGTATATTGTTGTAAAGAGTGTATTTAATTTCTCAACATTTTTCTTTTAAAAAGTTATAAATTATATGCAAGTAATTGTATGGTTTGTTCAACTATATAATTATTATTTGGGACTATTGTTGTTTTATATAATTATTGTGTATGTTCTGTATTCACATAAATATTAAAATGTGAAACAAGTAATAAACAAGTAATATTATCTGACCAGAACTGGCAGAAATTTATTACGAAAACTATGACCTTCTCTTTAAAATTTGTGGAGTGAAAATACTGCCATGGAATGAAATGTTTACTCCATTGGAGTTAATATTCATTCTGTTAGAGGAAATATTCACGACAATAGGGTAAACATTTCACTCCATGGCAGTATTTTCACTCCACAAATTTTGGAGAGTTAGTCAGTGAGAGGTATTATTTTTCGCAATAAATTTCTGCCAGAGTTCTGGTCAGATAATATTACTTGTTTGTTATTTAATCACTGGTAAAGAAAATAATTAAGAAAATAGCACTTATAGTAAAAATATGAAATTTAATATTTAATATAAAGTTCTTGTTGTTAAGTGTTTTATGAATCGGCAAGCACTTAACGTGTCAATTGATCTGACTTATAAAACCATTTCTTACTTCTTATCTTTTAGACCAATTTATGATTTTAAAAGTTATTTAATTGCAAGATTAAATAACGTAAATCTCACCTATAAAAATATGTATATCTTTAAGATATTATAAAGAACTTCACTGATCATAAGACTACTTTGTTAAGTGCGTATATGGTTATTGTTACTTACAGGATATTTGCACATAGTGTGACTACGTTCTGAACATGATTTCAAGTCGCAGTAATCAGTCGCGGTTACGGTAGTAACCGCGATGGTAACAAGACATAGAATATTACCGATTCCTGCCATTATCCTTCCTTGCATATTATTAAATTTTGATAGCACCGCTTTGTTGATACCTTTCTTTATTTTTTATAAACTACTAACGTATAAGCTACTAAGCTTTATAAATTAGTAAGCTTAATATAACGCGGCAACATTTATATGAAATGCATTATCTCAGTGCCGTAGCCGGAGCAGGGCAATCAGGATCCATGCTAGGAAAGCGCAAAGGCTAACAATAAGAAAATTCAAATTATTTTATTCAAATTATCTTATTTGTTGCATATCTTAATTTTTATAATAGACAGTAAAACAGGAAAAATGTGTCATTATTTTTCGTCTTTCATTAAAAAGTCATATTTAAAGAGAAAAACTCATATGAAAATTTGATATTAAAGGTATACAAGAAAGTGTTTGATAGAAGGGGGAGGGAGAGAGAGAGAGAGAGAGAGAGAGAGAGAGAGAGAGAGAGAGAGAGAGAGAGAGAGAGAGAATGAGTTAGAGAAAAAAAAGAAGATATGGTTGGATTTTCCTAATAGAACATACTGCAACTTTTATTTGCTTTCCTACTTTTTTACGTTATATTTTTAAGGTTTATTTACACATATTTATGACGTTTCAGTACTGTATCAGTTTTCGGATGACAAATTCACAATAATTGTTATAACTTTAGATGAAGAAAAAGCAAATAAGATTGAACAGCCCGTGTGAACAAATCCAGTAAAAAAAATGAAGGAAACAATATTTGTTATCATTGATACTGACGGATGTTCACGTAACTGAACGAACACTTGACGGATATGTGTGATGGTCCGTGTACGCATATTCGTGACTCGTCAATGCCGTATCCGTTCAGTTCCGCGGATTGTCGTCGTTATCAGTGATAACAAATCTTCCTTCTTTACTTTTTAATTGACATGTTTACACTTCTGGCGAGTTTCGCGGAACTGAATAGAGATGGAAATTCACGGAACTGAACGGACCCGGCACTAACACGTCTTGGATAGGTATAAATAGAACCTTTAATTGTCTCCGTTGGGTTTAATTTGTAATTTAAATTTTTACTTCATATATGAAATCACCGATCACATTTCCGCTTGGACCATAATTGCAAACTACGTGGTGCACGTGCAAGCCATTTCTTTGGAACTTTATTTGTCCACAACCGACTTTTGTTGTGTTAGCCCAAACCATTTGAGTATAATGGATTGTAACTGGATCATATCTGCATATAATAAATTATTTTACAAATTACACATAAAAAATATATTACAAATGCACCATCCCAAGTGATATTATTGTATACGTGTCGTGTATGCAGGTGTCGCGCCCGCGAATGGGATACGTAGGAGATTAGATATACTTACTCATATGGAAGGGAAACTTTATTTTTATCAAAGGCATCTACTCCATTGTACATTCCTTTAACCAGTTGCACACCGGATGAGTCTTCTGCTGAAGAGATTGAAAAACCTATGTTCTGACCAACTACACATCTATCTGTAATGACGTGCATTATTTGACAAGTGAATCACTGAGTATTACATTTAATTTCAACAATTTTAAATAACATTTGTAAATTGGTACATACCCACATTTCTGCATTTGTCATAATCGTAGTTGCATTGAATGGCCCATCTTTGCGCAATATTCTCTAGTTCTCTGTCCCAAGTCTAAAAAAATATATACATATCGGATTATTATATTTATTTACTGTTAATAATATTATGTCTTACCACATATGGCATTTTAACCGCTGGTGGTTGTGGACTAGGACGTCCTCTAGTTTCCCGACCCGATGCGATTTGTTGTCTCAGGTCATTGTGTATATTTACTATATTCCTGATGTCAGTATCATTAAAGCCAATATTATAGAAGTATCCGCACTTTATAGCTGGTGTTGATGACTACAACGTAATTTTTTGAAAGTTCTAAGGAAATTTCAAAGTTATAAAAAATTGAGACACTATTGTAAAGATATTTTTTGAGACCAACTAAATCAAAAAGTCTTCTACCACTTTTTCTTCCGACAAGCATGTTATTAATTTTCTTATTTACGAAATTACTTTAGTTTATTTTTACCTTTTAGATAATCTGCAAATTCGTGATTTTAAAAACAATTTAATTCCGAAATTAAATAATGTAAAAGTCACCTTTGAAGATATTATAAAAGAACTTTGATTGTAAGAGTACAGAGGATACCACTTTGCATTAGTGCGTATATGGCTATTGTTACTTACAGGATATTTGCACATAGTGTGGCTATATTTCTCTGTACACGATGTCAAAAGGCAGTAATCGGTCGCAGTTACCATCGTAACCACTGTGACAAAGCACAGAATATTGCAAATTCCTGTCATTATTCTTTTCTGGATATTTTCTAAATTTTGACAGTGTCACTTTGTCGATATCTTTCTAGATTTCGTTGTAAATCGCTAACTAATCTGATATAACACCTAGATACTGTTATATGCAATGCATTATCTCAGGGTCGTAGCTAGTGCAGGATAACCAGAGTCCATGCTAGGGTTCGCGTCCTACGGGATATAATTGGAGACCACTGAGACCAATGTTTCGTACCTAAGTATTTCGTCATAAGGAAATCGTATATATAGGAGACAATATACGAAAAACTAAAGAAGTACGTAGTTATTGGTACGCTTTTTCGAAAAACTACTTCTAATATATTATTAATATAGCAGTACACACAATGCTATGGAAATCGTTCTTAAAGATTAGACGTATGTACTTCAGCGCTCAGTCTACATGGAAATTATCGCTTTTCGTCCTCATTGAGCTGTGTTTTAGTTGGAAACATGGCATTTACAAATAATTTTTGAAAACGTTCTTGTAATCAACCTGTGGTTTCCAACTTTTGTTTCTGATAGTAATATCTTATGATTTCTATGTTTGTGTAATAAAACATATGTATCATAAAATCTTCAGTCATATCTAAATGTCTTTTAATTGTATTTAATTGTATTATACTTGTGGTACAATATGTATCTAAAAACTTTATATAATCATCATCATCATCATTATTATTCAATTCCTTCTTCTTATTATTATTATTATATGAGTGATGCAAGTCAACTGTGGGTGTCTCAGTTTCATATTGTGATTCATTATTTATCGCAATACTGCGTTATCTTATCAATACATCAATTATTGCAGTTTTTCATATCACATTTCCATATGTTTACAGTGTCTGAGTGAAAGAGAGAGAGAGAGAGAGGGGGAGAGGGTAGGGGAGGGAGAGTTAATAAAGTTAATAAAGTTATACAATTTATTTACTTAAAGTTATAAAATTTATTTACTTTCCCGCTTTTTGTATCACTACTTTTTTACTACATATTTAATTTCTCGGTCGTATTTTTATTTTAAATTTTTATGTCATATATTTTCTCACCGACCATATTACCACTTGTCCCATAATTGCAAATTAGGTATCTCATCTTCATGTTTACTGGATCAATATATCTTATTGTTCCGCAACTAACCTTTGTTGTGTTAGCTCAGACTATTTGGGTATACAAGAATGCATACATATCAAACCTACAAATAAATAATTTTAATTAAAAAATGTATTATTAATGCACCTTCCGCGAGATTTTAAGTAATATTATTGTATACGTACAATATTATTTACGTATAATAATTTCCTATATATACAAATATACATATATCTTTAAATAAGAAAGTCTCGATGCGATCTAAAGAATTAATTTATATCTTACTATATTTGTTACCATATGCAAATGACTCTATACGACTCTATAACTAGAATATTTAATATTGGAGAGATATTTACTGATATGGGAAGGAAACTTTATTTTTATCAAAGGCCTCCAATCCTAATCTGTACATTGCTTCAATCACATCTTGTACACCGTGTGAGTTTTTATTCCAAGATGTCCCTGCTGTCATGGCCATTAACTGACCAACTGCAAATCTCTCTATAATGACATGAGATATTTGAGAACAAGTGTGGATAACTAAATCATATATTTTATTTACAATTATAAAAAGTAAAGTAAAGTAAAGTAAAGTAAAGTGTGCAAATTAGAAATTTGCACATGGCTTCCTCATAGAGGACGGTTTAGGAGC